TTTTTTTTGTGATTTTGTCATAGCATGTCCAACTTTGAACAAAAAAAAAAAAAAAAAAAAAAGAGATGCAGTATTAAACATTATACCATTGGCCTGTGAGTTATATACCCTTGGCCTGGATTAACATTGTTTTTTACTATGATCCATAATGAAGATCCCTTTTGGGGTAATGGCACAAAAACCACTAGAACTTGATTAATACAGTGATAAACCCGTTCTACTATCAGTAGCAGGTTTAACACAATCTGTTTGATCATACAGGTATCCTGTGTAACTTTAAACAATTTTATAACCCTGCTCTTTACATAAAAATATGGCTCAAAGATAAGTGGGAAACATTGAAAAATCACTGTATTTTAACAAACCAAGAAGTGCACATTTTCATAAAGTGCAAAATTTCCGTTTTTATTTGTTTTAACCTCAATACACGTTCCATGTTGACATACAGAAGCAGGTATGTCTCTTTAAAGAAAATATTTGGCAGAAAATGAGTGCAGATATAAGGACAAAAGAGGAACATTGCAGTGTTAGGTTACAGGGTAATACAGACATTTACACACAGATATTAAGGCAGTTCTAACATAGATTCTGTAATGTTATAGAAAATTAGCGAGGACTGTTAAACAGGTGATGGTCTTTTCATTTGGTTAGTAGATACAGTGAAGCAGGACATCAATTATATTTTTAGCTGCAGAGTAACAGATTTAGAAATCTAACATGTTACAAAATCATACACAAAACTTCAAATAAAACAATTTGAAGATATATCCTTTTAGCATTTAAATACAATATGATACATATAAGCACAACTCTTGTCCTTAATGTTTTCCTTAAGTTTCCTACAGCATATTTTTGAAGGGGAGTACCTTGGAAGGTAGGAAAATGCCTAACAAGTTTTTATCGGTTAAGAATGCAAAGATATTCCAAGCCACTTTCTGGTCATTACATCAATAAGCTAGGTTTCCAATGCTGGACATACTTCAACACAGCTTTCTGTTACACGAATTCCATAATGTCCGGCCCAGAACTGTGTGTCTCTACCGCCATGACAAAAATTGACGTATCTCACTCCTGGTCCGTAGTCCTTGAACACATGCACCATCTTGAAAGAAAAAATAAATTAACATCAGTAATGTAGGGATCTGTTTAGCTTAGCAGCTCCTATATTAGTAACATTGATGTACCTGATTCCACTGCTGGTCATTCCACTGAGGAAAGGAAACTTGCTCAGGGGAAAACGTTTTCACAATTCTTTTGTTTTTATCTAGCAGTTGTACTGAAATCTCATAGATACTTCCACAATCCCATCGTGGTGCATACCTAACATCAAAGCACAAATACCAAGATCTTTTTTTTGTTTGTTTTCGACAAAACAATTTCCATTAATCAAGAGTTGCTTTCTTTTTTTTTTTTTTACCAGTCTGATATTCTGATGTGTGGCTGGATCTCATCCATAAGTGAGGGGCTGTAACCTTCCTTCTCCAAATCAATCAGCTGTTCTTTCGTGCACATACTGCAAACAACAAATGTTTAAAACATAATTAGCAACTAAAAATTAAATTAATAAACATGAAAATATTTCAAAACTCAATACTCACTGATAGGAGGTCACAAAGTTTTTTTGGACTGCTGCATTTGGATGAGGCACCATAGGATCCTCTATCTTCCACCTATGACCACCATTATTCACAATTTTCCAACCTTGAAATTCATCTAAGCATCAAAGTATGAGAGACTTAGTATCTGCAGAATTTATTTTAAAAACAGATGGAATATAATACAACTTAATGAAACTTATTCAACTCACAAATAATCAGTTATAAATTGAATTTTCACTAAAGGCATTATAAGAACTCATGCCATGTGCTTAAAGCTACAGTGTGTAATTTTTAGCGACATCTAACGTCCAGATTGCAGACTGCAGCAACATGAACATCTCCCCCCCACCGCTTCTCCCCCCCAACAGTACGGCGAGTGTTACGGGACAAAATGTCTTCCACGACGTCCGCATCACCTACCTTATCAAGTGATGAGGTTTGTTTACATAGATAATTTTACAGATA